TAAAAGAATTATTCACCATGATCAAGTGGGATTTATTCCTGGGATGCAGGGGTGCTTCAATAGCCAGAAATCAATCAACGTGACACATCACATTAATAAAAGAAAAGCGTAAGAACCACATGATCCTCTCAACAGATGCAGAAAAAGCATTTGACAAAATACAGCATCTTTTCTTGATAAAAACCTTCAAGAAAGTAAGAACAGAAAGAGCAGACCTCAACATCATAAAGGCCATATATGAAAGGCCCACAGCTAATATCATTCTCAATGGGAAAAAAACTGAGAACTTTACCACTAAGGACAGGAACATGACAGAGATATTCACTTTCACCACTTTTGTTCAACATTGTACTGGAAGTCCTAGCCTCAGCAACGAGACAAGAAAAAGAAATAAAAGGCATCCAAATTGGCAAGGAAGAAGTCTTTGCAAACAACATGATACTCTACATGGAAAACCCAAAGGATTCCACCAAAAACCTACTAGAACTGATACATGAATTCAGCAAAGTCTCAGGATATAAAATCAGTGTTCAGAAATCAGTTGCAATTTTATACACCGATAATGAAGCAGAAGAAGGAGAAATCAAGGAATCGATCCCATTTACAATTGCACCAAAAACTATAATCACAGGAATAAACCTAACCACAGAAGTAAAAGATCTGTAAACTGAAGACTATAGAAAGCAAATTAAACAAGTTGAAGAAGACTCAAAAGAAATGGAAAAACATCCCATGCTCATGCACTGGAAGAACAAACGTTGTTAAAATGTCTATACTACCTAAAGCATTCTACATATTCAAAGCAATCCCTATCAAAATAACACCAGCATTCTTCCCAGAGCTAGAACAAACAATTCTAAAATTTGTATGGGATCCAGAAAAGACTCCCAAATATACAAAGTAATGTTGAAAAAGAAAACCAAAGCTGAGGGATCACAATTATGGACTTCAAGATGTATTACAAAGCTGTAATCATCAAGACAGTCCAGTACTGGCACAAAAACACACATATAGGGGTGCCTGGGTAGCTCAGTCGGTTAACCATCAATGCTTGATTTCAGCTCAGGTCATGATCTCATGGTTCATGAGTTCAAGCCCCATGTCAGGCTCCATGCTGAGACCACGGGGCCTGCTTGGGATTCTGTCTCCCTCTCACTCTTTGCGTCTCCCTCTCTCTCTCTCTCAAAATAAATAAACTTAAAAACAAACAAAGGAGGGGCGCCTGGGTGGGTCAGTCGGTTAAGCGGCCGACTTTGGCTCAGGTCATGATCCCATGGTCCGTGGGTTTGAGCCCCACATCGGGGTCTGTGCTGACAGCTCAGAGCCTGGAGCCTGCTTCAGATTCTGTGTCTCCCTCTCTCTCTGACCCCCCTCCCCCCGTTCATGCTCTGTCTCTCTCTGTCTCAAAAATAAATAAACATTAAAAAAAATTTTTTTAAATAAAAAACAAACAAAGAAAAAAAAAAGACACAGCGATCAGTGGAAAAGATTAGACAACCCAGAATTAAACCCACAACTGTATGGTCAACTAATCTTTGACAAAACAGGAAAGAATATCCAATGTAAAACAGTCAGTCTCTCCAGCAAATGGTATTGGGAAAACTGGACAGCGACATGTAGAAGAATGAACCTGGACCACTTTCTTACATCATACACAAAAATAAACTCAAAATGGATGAAAGACCTAAATGTAAGACAGGAAGCCATCAAAATCCTAGAGAAGATAACAGGCAACAACCTCTTTGAAAAAGCAAGCATGAACTATTGGGACCTCATCAAGGTAAAAAGCTTCTGCACAGCAAAGGAAACAATCAACAAAATTAAAAGGCAACTGATGGAATGGGAGAAGATATTTTCAAATGATATATCGGATAAAGGGTTAGTATCCAAAATCTATAAAGAACCAAAAAACAAATAATCCAGTGAAGAAATGAGTAAAAGACATGGAAACTTCTCCAAAGACATCCAGATGGCTAACACACACATGAAAAGATGCTCAACATCACTCATCATCAGGGGAATACAAATCAAAACCACAATGAGATACTACCTCACACCTGTCAGAATGGCTAAAATTAACAAACTCAGGAAACAACAAAGTTGGTGAGGACACAGAGTAAAGGGAACACTTTGCACTGCTGGTGGGAAGGCAGACTGAAATGCAAACTGGTGCATCCACTCTGGAGAACAGTTTGGAGGTGCCTCAAAACATTAAAATAGAGCTATCCTATGACCCGGCAATTGCACTATTAGGTATTTATCCAAAGCATACAAAAATGCTGACTCAAAGGGGCCCATGCACCCCAATATTTACAGCAGCACTATCAATAATAGCGAAATTATGGAAAGACCCCAAATGTCCATCAATGGATGAATGGATAAAGAATATGTGGTATATATATACAATGGAATATTACTCAGCAATCAGAAAGAATGAAGTCTTGCCTCTTGCAACACTGTGGATAGAACTAGACTATATTATGCTACGCGAAATCAGTCAATCTAAGACAGATAAATATCATATATTTTTACTCACAGGTGGAATTTAAGAAACAAAGCAGATGAATATAGGGGAAGGGAAGGAAAAATAAGATAAAAACATAGAGGAAGGCAAACCATAAAAGCCTCTTAAATACAGTGAACAAACTGAGGGTTGCTGGAGGGGGTTTGGGTGGGGGGGGGTGCTAAATGGGTGCTGGACATTAAGGACGGCACTTGTTGGGATGAGCACTAGGTGTTATATATAAGTGATGAATCACTAAATTCTATTCCTGAAACCATGATTATGCTATATGTTAACTAACTTGGATTTAAATTTTAAAAAATCAAGTATGAATTATACATACTTAGATATATCACATAGACTATGATAACCCATAAGAATGTTGATATTTAATCTAGCTATTAATCATCTTTAATAGTTTGTTTTAGTGGGAAGTCATTTCTGGCATATTGAAATTCAGTAACTCGATAAGAATTGTCTATCACATTTAGGTATACTGAGATAATTTTGCTAACTTCAGCTTATCACTATTTACTGATATAATTGAATAGTAAATAGTATCTAATTATGCATTTTTATAGGCACACTGTTTAAGTAATCTGTTACTAGCTAATAATTTTATTATGGAAACCAACTATCCAAACATTACAAACTATAAGATATGAAATTATAGATTTGACTTTGAAAAAAAAGAAGATCAGGCCTTGAGTCGAAGCATCTTTTGTATTCTCTAACACCAAGCACACAGTGTCTTTGCATCGATGGCTGATATATAAATAAGTAATGGACCTCCAGTGGCCTCCATGATATGATATTCTTTACCCATCGAATTTTCTTCCTCCTGTTTTTCTACCACAACCCCTCCTAAGTAGTCAAGTCTAACTCCTAAATGCTCCACTCTCTTCATTATCCCACAGCTAAACTTCAGGCTTCAGAATCTTAACACGTTAACAGACATTTACACAGGGTCTACTCTGAAGCAGGCGTTGGGAGGGGTATAGGTGAAACAAAGATGGATAAGCTACATAGGTTCCTGCCCTGAAAAAGCACACAATTAGCTACAGAACGAGTAATGCAGGAGATCATTCAAAGATGGTTTTTGGGAGTGTTAATCTGAAAAATAAAAATGGATTTATTCAACAATAATTTATCCAAGAATTGCAATTTGGGGTGCACAAGCTATGGCAAAACCATGGGCAAGTCCAACAAGCAGAGAAGAGGAACATTATTTTGTGCAGAAGGAGGAAGCTGGAAGGCATTGTTCTGAACAAAAGTCCACTGGGGGAATAAAGCACAAGTCCTGGTGATGATGGTTTCTAATGGGCTGAGTTGCAGGGGTAGTGATATCTTGTAGGAGATGCAAAGTACATCTTTCCCTTGCTGGGGCCTATAAGTGGTGATCTTTCCTGCTGATGATTCTTCTTTTGGGTTCTATAATTGACAATTCTTCCTGTAATTGAAGTCAAGGGGTAAGGCTTCCCCTTCTAACTTGCTCTACTCTCCTCCTTTCTCCATTTTAGTGAGGCTTATCTTTATTAACATTCACAGGAACAAATAATGCCTGAGTTTGTCTTAAAGACTGAAAAACAAGGCCAAGGGAAGAGTGTGGGAAAAGAGGAAAGGGCAGCATTCGAAGCAAACAGAAGTAAACACAGAGCATTCAGACATTTCCAAGGATTTGCTGTAACCTGAACTAAGATGGCAAAAGGTTAAGTGGTGGGAAAAGAGGCCAGACTGTCAATAGTTTATTGAGTGATTCCAGGATTTTCCCTCCCAAAGGTAATAGGCTGCCTTAAATAGATTTCAGATAGGAGAATAAGCAGCTTTTTCTCTAGAAAGATCATTCGGGTAGCATTATAGGAGATGGTTTGGAAGCGGGAGAAAATGGAATCAGAGAGGTGAACTATAGAACTGTCGAAGAGATTGGAGCAGGCCAGAGAACTAGTGACAGACACTGTGAAAACATCTCTCAAGACCCACCCTAGACAGAAAGACTTCTCTGATTCTGTTAGTTTTCAACGTCCACCTCCCACCCCACCTCCACCCACATTCCTACAGCGCTTGTGAAATCTGTGGCCCAAATTTATGTACGTGATTATCTTTTATTTTACTCCCTAGCTGTTTCCTGTACATTACTCAAGTCTCCCTAGTTAATACAAGAAAAGTTTATGGAATTGAAATGGCTTGTAAGTCGTCCAAGGCCCAAAAATGCATTCTACCGCGCTAGGTAGTCAGGCCCAGTTCATAGCTAGTAGAAGGAGGAGCACTGATTGAGTCATTTCACCCTCTTGCCCATCAAACTGTCGCCCACCCGGGTGGCCTAGCAGGAGAAAACCACAAGAGGAGCTGAGGTGCCAACCACAGCTATTAGACGCTTTACGCCCACCAGAGGGCGCTCTCTCCTGGCGCTCTTACTTCGAGAAGCCCCAAGCAAATGAACCCTGACGTATTTCGGCCCTCTGCAGTTGCCGTAGTCCCAGAGAGTAAACAGGAAGTAGAATTCAATGGTCGGGTGAAAAACACCGAGGACTCAGAAGGGATTCACTCCCGCGGTAACTTGCGCTTTCCAGGGAGTCTACCCTCTGTTTCTATTTTTGGCACTCCCGCGCGCGTGCCTACTTCAGTGAAGGTATTTTGCCCTGAGCCCGCTGTCACCTCTTTATACAGTGTCCCCTGAACCATGGCCGAATACTCCTATGTGAAGTCCACCAAACTCGTGCTCAAGGGAACCAAGGCTAAGAGGTAAGACCAAAGTTTGTGCGGGAGTTTGTGCGTACTCCGCCCTCCCCTCCCCCGCGGAGACTCTTTCGGAAGCCTTAAGAGATCTGTTATTCATGCTCCCAGCCCCTGGGCCTGGCCCCTGGTCCCACAGGGATTGATGCTGCGACTCCGTTCCTGGCACCTGGACAGACGCCGCCCCAGAGACGCGCCACGACTGTCGCGCCTTCAAAAGGGAGGAGACAGGAAAGCGAGACCCAGGAGCCACGAGTTTGGGTGCCTTGATAAGGTTCCCCTCCAGACCTCCGCATGATGGGGTCTTAGTCTTATGATGTAGGCCATAACAATGAATTCCTTTATTAAAAGCCATTATTTTCACTCTTGTCTCCCGCCTCCCCCAAAAGATTCTTAATTTTTTTTTTAACGTTTATTTATCTTTGAGACAGAGAGAGACAGAGCATGAACAGGGGAGGGGCAGAGGGAGAGGGAGACACAGAATCCGAAACAGGCTCCAGGCTCTGAGCGGTCAGCCCAGAGCCCGACGCGGGGCTCGAACTCACGGAACGCGAGATCGTGACCTGAGCCGAAGTGGGCCGCCCAACCGACCAAGCCACCCAGGCGCCCAGATTCTTAATTAATTTAATACAATATGCAGATGTGCGTTTTGAGAGGGATATGGGCTCACATCTCGACTGCCACCAGTTGCGACTGCCACTGGTGACTGGCACCAGTTTTGCGATTTGTGGCAAGTTCGTTAACATTCTTGAACTTCCATTTACTCATTTATTAGGAAATATTAGTGGTACTATAAAAGAATTCTTAGGATTAGATACCATGTACAGTAACTGGAGCCAAATGCAAGCAAAGGTTGTAGTGATTCGTAATTAGTAGATTTTTAGGAAAAGGTATCTGCCCATTCCAATCTCCACCTCTCTTTTTACCTGGCCGGTTTGCTCAGGATTGATTATTCATACAAGCGTAAAGCACTTCATCCTGTCTCAGGGACAGTGTTTGGTACTTTTAGGTAAGATGAAAGTGTTAAGGAGCAAGCTGAAACCTCTGCCGTTGGGAACTCTGCCTCGGAGTCTGGAATCACAAAGAATTTATCCGGAATAAATCGGAAACTTGTACTCTCTGATTTTACAGGAGAGATGGGAGTTAACTTCTGAAAGTTTATGTTATGGTGAAAATACAAACAAGTGTATCTTATAATTATCACAACTCTATCTTAATTAACACACAGCACTTACTCTGTGCCAAGAACTATTCTAAGCACTTTGCTTATAACTTTTTTTTTAACCACCCCTGGATTTTTTTCTTTCTTATTACTGAGATATAATAGATATACCATAAAACTCACCTTTTAAAGTACGGTTTTGTGGTCGTCAGTGTGTTCACAAAGTTCACCACTATCAAGTCGGAGAACATTTTCATCATCTTAGAAGGAAACCCCGTAATCATTAGCCGTCACTCTCCATTTCACTCTTCCCCTAATCCGCTTTCTGTCCATATCAGTTTGTCTGTTCAGAATATCTCATATAAATAGAGTCCTACAGTATGCGGCCGTTTGTATCTGATTTCATCCACACTGTAGCATGTATCACTACTCTTATTTTTATGGCTGAATAATATTCCACTGTATAGATACAACACATTTTGTTTATCTGTTCATTAGTTGATGGACATTGGGTTGTTTCCACTTTTTGGCATTATGAATAATGCTGCTATGAATATTGTTATAAAATTTTCGTGTCGACATGTGTTTTCATTTCTCTTAGGTATATACCTAGGAGTAAATTGTTAGGTCATATGGTAACTCTGTATTTAACTTTTTGAAGAACCCCAAACTGTTTCCTAAAGTGGTTATACCATTTTACATTTTTACCAGCAATATATGAAGGTATGAGTTAACTCTCAGTCCTCACAGTAACCTTAAGAGCAGTTAAATTATTATCCTCATTTTATAGGTGAGAAACTGACAAGAGATTAAGTAGTTTTCCAAAAGTCAGAGAGATCAGAAATGACAGTATCAGGATTAAAAAGGCAGTCTGGCTCCAGAGTCTGTTCTCTTAACTATAACACAATACATACAGGATCAGAAGTGAGTTCTCAGGATTAGAAGTAAGAGGGTATATCAGTGTAGATAACTGTAAATCAATAACTCATAAATCTATGGTCAGCTTAAAAGATTCCTCTAAGATTCCATTTTGTGATACTTAACATCAAATTCATATTTCTAAACTCAGCTATATGAATTATCTCCTGCAGTAAGAAGAAAAAGAGCAAAGAGAAGAAGAGAAAAAGAGAAGAAGATGAAGAAACTCAGCTTGATATTGTTGGTAAGTTTTCTCTACTTTTTAAAAATTTTTTACGTTTAGATTTACTTTTGAGACAGAAAGAGACAGAGCATGAGTGGGGGAGGGGCAGAGAGAGGGAGACACAGAATCCCAAGCAGGCTCCAGGCTCTGAGCTGCCAGCACAGAGCCCGACACGGGGCTTGAACCCATGACCACGAGATCATGACCTGAGCCGAAGACCGACGCTCAACCGACTGAACCACCCAGGCGCCCCATCTACTTTTTTGTTTTGTTTTGTTTTGTTTTGAGAGAGAGAGAGAGAGAGAGAGAGAGGGTACAAGCAGGGGAGGGGCAGAGAGAGAATCCGTGGGCTTGATACCACTACCCGTGAGATCATGACCTGAGTCAAAATCAAGAGTCAGATGCTTAACTGACTGAGCCACCCAGGCCCCCCAGTTTTCTATACTTTACTCTGCAAAAAGTTAACACAGGTTGAGATGCCTTTAAAAATATTTTCTTAAGGACACCTGGGTGGCTCATTCAGTTGAGCATCCAACTCCGGCTCAGGTCACGATCTCTCAGTCTGGAAGTTCGAGCCCTGCATCGGGCTCTGTGCCGATAGCTCAGAGCCTGGAGCCTGTTTCAGATGCTGTGTCGCCCTCTCTCTCTGACCCTCCCCCATTCATGCTCTGTCTCTCTCTCTGTCTCAACAAAATGGATAAACATTAAAAAAAAAAAAAAATTCTTAGGGATTAAGTAGTATAAAGAAAGTCAAAAGAACTTATGACCTGTTTATAGTTTTCTTAAAGTGTTCAATATTACTTACAGTTGTGGATCCCTTTTATTGTCTGCCACAGTACATGTCACTGATGCCTTTTTTTCATCATCAGAACAAAACACAGAGAAAGGAAACACAGCTCTCTGATTTAAAATACGATAATGCCATAATATCCTAGAGATTCTGAACATAATTTTAAAGACCTGCTATAAATATTATCTAATCAAATATATTTCACAAATTATTTTCTTTGAACGTCTATGCATTTTAATTGTAGAAGCCAGTGATATGCATGTCCCTAAAGGAACAGTAATGGATAGCAAAAGTGATTTTGTATACCGTGAAATGAATGAAAATCTTAATTGAACAGAACAGAGCATCTCAGTGGCCTGTAAATGGTACCAGAGATAAACTGACCCAAACACTTTTAACCAGCCTGTTTTCTATTCAGTCCTTCTATCCTTTCCACATCTATACTTTAAGGCAATTTTTTTCCTCTTTTAAAACTGGGCCAGTTGCATTTTGAAATTTCATAAATTATGGCTCCTTCACATTTTATATGAAATGGTATAAAGCTAATATTCTAGAAAATCTCACTTTATTTTGAAATAGCAAATCAACAATTCTCAAATTAGAGTAAATATTTTGGCTAGATATCTAGACATGGAGCTGCTATGTCAAAAGATAGGTGAATATTTAACTGTATAAGAAACCACCAAGAATTTTTTAAAGTGGTTGCGCCATTTTATACCCCTCACCAAGAATTAATACAGTTCTGTTATCAGTCTTTGCTCCCAGTCTGTGGTTTGACTTTTAATTTGCTTAAATGGAATTTTTCTAAAAGCAAAAGTTAGAAATTTTTTTCAACTGTAATAAAATTCACACGTGACATTGTATTAGTGTTAGGTGTACAACATCATGATTTGATATATATATACATATATATATAAGCTTTTAGTTTTTATAAAACTTTATTACCTTTTTTTTTCTATTATGGCTACTACCTTATGTCTTCAGTCTAAGAAATTAACACTCCAAAGTCATGAAGAAATTCTTATATATTTTCTTTAAAAATCTTCATAGTTTGAGCTTTTACATTAGATCTGTGATCTATTTCAAATTAATTTTTGGTATGGTGTAAGGAGTCAGGGTTCTTTTTTTTATGTTTATTTATTTATTTTGAGGGGGGTGGAGCAGAGAGAGAGGAAGAGAAAGAGAATCCTAAGCAGGCTCCACACTCTCAGCACATTGCCAAACCTGGGGCTTGAACTCACAAACTGAGATCATAACCTGAGCTGAAATCAAGAATTGGATGCTTACTTAGCTGTGCCACCCAGGCACCCCAGAGGTTCTTTTTTCATTTTTTCATATTGATATCCAATTGTTCAGCACCACTGTTGAACACTTTCCTTTTCCATTAAACTTCTTTGATATATTTGTCAAAAATCAGTTGACTTTATATGTGTTGACATATTTCTGTTCCATTGATTCATCTGTTATTCTACTGATATATTTGTCTTGATTACTGTCACTTCATAATGTTTTGAAATCAGGTGATGTCTTCAAGGTTTATCCATATTGTAGCATGTGTCAGAATTTCCTTCATTTTTAAGACTAAATAATACTCCATTGTGCACATTGACCACATTTCGTTTATCCATTCATCTTTCAATGGACACATGGGTTGCTTCCACTTTTTGACTGTTGTGAATAATTCTGCGATGAATATGGCTGTACAGATACCTCTTCAAAGCAAAGCTTTCAATTCTTTTGGTCATATATCTGGAAGTGGAATTGCTGGATCATATGGTAGTTCCGTTTTTAGTTTTTTGAGGAAACTCCATACCGTTTGCATAGTGGTTGTACCATTTGACATTCCCACCGACAGTGCATGGGGGTTCCATTTTCTCCATATCCTCACCAACACTTATTATTTCTGGTTTCATGATAATACCCATCATAATGGGTATGAAATGGTATCTCATTATGGTTTCAGTTTGCATTTCCCTAGTGATTAGCAGTATCACGCAATTTTCATGTGCTCATTGGCCATTTGTATATCTTCTTTGGAGAAATATCTATTCAAGTCCTTTGCCCATTTTTTGAACTGAGTTTCAAGTGTTCTTTATATATTCTGGATATTAATCCCTTAATAGATATGTGATTTACAAATATTTTCTCCTATTCTGTGGGATGTCTTTTTGCTCTGTTGATAGTGTCCTGTGGTGCACAAAAGATTTTCATTTTGATGAGTCTAATTTGTCTTAGTTTTCTTTTGTTGTTTGTGCCTTTGGTGTCCTATGAAAGAAATGATTGCCAAATCTAATATCATGAGGCTTCTACCATATGTTTTCTTTTAAGAGTTTTACAGTTTTAACTCATAAATTTAGGTCTTTGATTCATTTTGAATTAATTTGTATATATGATATCGGGTAAAGTCCAACTTCATATAAGTGAAAATTTTACTAATTTTTTATTGGTTACAAAAATCCTTCCCTGTTTAGATGAATAGGAAATCTTGTGCAGTGTGGTAAATTCAATTTTTAAAAACTTTGTTGTATGGAAATTTTCAAACTAATACATAAGTAGAAAAAAATAATGAATTTCCCATGTGCCCATACCCCCGTCATTAGTAATGATCATTATTTTGACAGTCTTGTTTCATTTACATACTTTACTACTCTGAAATAATACCCTATACACACTTCTTTCTGGAGAATTTTTATTTTATTTTATTTTGTTTTGTTTTATTTTTTTAAATGTTTTATTTATTTATTTTGGGAGAGAGAGAGTACGCATGAGCAGAGGGAGGGGCAAAGAGAGGGAGAGAGAGAATCCCAAGCAGGCTGTACACCATCAGCATGGAGCTTGACACAGGGATCTGTCTCATGAACCATGAGATCATGACCTGAGCTGAAATTAAGAGTTGGACAACCAACTAACTAAACCACCCTGGCATCCCCTGGAGAATTTTAAAGTAAAACACAAGTATTATGTCATTCTATCCATGTATACATAAATGTACATTGCTTATAAAGTCAGTCCCTCTCTCTCTTCTGTTTTGCTCTGCCTTTTAATACATAAGAGTATGTCATTATCAGACCTAACAAAATTAATAAGAATTCCTTAATGTCCATCTAATATCTTATTAATGACTGATACATTTCTTCTTTAGCCAAAGTACAATTTAGTTTCATACTCAACAGAGAAAATGTGAAAGCTTTTCCTCTAAGACCAGGAACAAGACAAGGATACCTACTCTTGCCGCTTGTATCCAACACAGTATTGGAAATCCTAGCCAAAGCAAGTAGGCAAAAAAGAAAAAAGAAAGAAAAAGCATCTAGATCAGAAAAGAAGAAATAAAACTGTCACTGTAGACTGATGATATGATCTTATATATAGAAAACCCTAAAGACTCTACCAAAAAACTGTTAGAACTAATACATGAATTCAGTACAGTTGCAGGATATAAAATAAACATACAGAAATCTTGCATTTCTGTACGCTAATAATGAATTACCAGAAAGAGAAATTAATCCCATTTACAATTGCACCAAAAAGAATAAAATATCTAGGTATAAATTTAACCAAGGATGTGAAAGACCTGTACTTGAAAACTATGACAGTGATAAAAGAAATTGAAGAGGACAGACAAATGGAGAGAGCCCATGCTCATGGATCAGAAGAATTAAACTGTTAAAAGCAATTACTGCAAGGCAATCTGCAAATTCACTGCAATCCCTATCAAATTTCCAGTGGCATTTTTCACAAATAATGAATAAACAATCCTAAAAGTTGTATGAAACCACAAATACCCCAGATAGCTAACAAGCTAGAGAAAGAATAAGGCTGGAGGAACCATACTTCCTGATTTCAAACTATATTACAAAGCTGTACTAATCAAAAAGGTTGTATATTAGCATAAAAACAATACATAGATCAATAGAACAGAAAGAACAAAAAGCCCAGAAACAAACTCATACAATAAACATAGAAATGCATATATCTTTTTGAATTAGTGTTTTTGTTTTCTTTGAGTAAATATCCAGTAGTGGAATTCCTGGATGGCATGGTAATTGTATTTTTAAGTTTTTGAGGAAACCCCATACTCTTTTCCACAGTGGTTGTTCTACTTCACATTCCCACCAACAATGCGCAAGCGTTCATTTTTCTCCACATCTTTGCCAACATTTGTTATTTCTTGTCTTTTTTAGTTTAGCCATTCTAACAGGTGTTAAAATCCTATCTCATTGTGGTTTTAATTTGCATTTCCCTCATGATTAGTGATGTTAAGCATTTTCTGCGTGTCTGTTGGCCATCTGTATGTCTTATTTGGAAAATTTTCTATTCAGGTGGGGTCCTCTTCGCCTATTTTTTTAATTGATTGTCATGTTCACTTGTGTAAGTTTTTTTTTTTTAATTTTTTTTTTAAGGTTTATTTTTTATTTTTGAGACAGAGAGAGACAGAGCATGAACAGGGGGAGGGTCAGAGAGAGAGGGAGACACAGAATCTGCATCCGCCCAAGCTCTGAGTTGTCAAAGCACAGAGCCCCATAAAGGGGCTAGAACCACAGACCTCACATGAATCTGAGTTGAAGTCAGATGCTTAACCGGCTGAGCCACCCAGGCGCCCCCTTTTTTTTTTTTTTTTTTATCTTTTTTTTTTTAAGGTTTATTTTTTATGTTTGAGACAGAGAAACAGAGCATGAATGGGGGAGGGTCAGAGAGAGAGGGAGACACAGAATCTGAAACAGGTTCCAGGCTCTGAGCTGTCAGCACAGAGCCCGTTGTGTAAGTTCTTTATACAGTTTGGATATTAACCCCTTATTGGATGTATCACTTGCAACTAGCTTCTCCCATTCAGTAGGTTGCCTTTTTTGTTTCGTCGATGGTTTCCTTCACTGCGCAAAAGCTTTTCATTTTGGTATAGTCTCAATAGTTTAATTGTGCTCTTGTTTCTTTTGCCAGAGGAGACATACCTAGAAAAATGTTATCTATGACTGATGTCAAAGAATCGGAGGGATGGATACTTGCCTATGTTTTCTTGTAGGAATTTTATGGATTCGGGTCTCACATTTAGGTCTTTATTTTGAATTTATTTTTGTATGTGGTGTAAGAATGAGGTCCAGTTTCCCTAGTATCGTTTGTTGAAGATTGTCTTCCCCATTCTATATTCTTGCCGTCTTTGTCATAAATTAATTCACCATAAAAGTGTGGCTTATTTCTGGACTCTATTTTGTTCCATTGATCTATGTGTCTGTTTTGATGCCAGTATCATGTTTTTATTACCACAGCTTTGTAGTATATCGTAAAATCTAGGATTGTGATTCCTCCAGCTTTGTTCTTTTTCAAGATTGCTTTGGCTCTTCGGGATCTTTTGTGATTCCATAAATTTTAGGATTATTCTAATTCTGTGAAAAATGTTAGTATTTTGATAGGGATTGCGTTTATGTGCAGCATGGATAGGGGAATAGGTGAAAGAGAATTAAAAGTACACTTACCTTGGGGCACCTGGGTGGTTCAGTTGGTTGAGCGTCCAACTCTTGATTTCAGCTTAGGTCATGATCCCACAGTTTGTGAATTCGAGCCCCACATTGGGCCTCTGTGTTGATGGTGTGGAGTCTGCTTTGGATTCTCTGCCTTCCTTTCTCTCTGCTCTCTCTCTCTGCTCATTCGTACTCTGTCTCTCAAAATAAATAAACATTAAAAAAATTTTTAAAAAATAGTACACTTATCTTAATGAGCACTGAGAAATGTACAGAATTACTGAATTATTGTAGTGTACATATGAAACTAATGTAACACTGTATATTGTACTTGAATTTTAAAATGAATAAAAAAAAGAAACCCATTTCTATTTGTATATGTAGTGTATATAGCTTCTCATTTTGTTTCTAATCTAAAATCTTGGTTAAGAATACTGTGCTAGACCATTAAAAAAAAGAATGAAGTCTTGCCATTTGCAATGATGTGGATGGAGCTAGAAAGTATCATGTTAAGCCTAGTAAGTCAGAGAAAGACAGATACCATATGATTTCACTCATATGTGGAATTTAAGAAACAAAACAGATGAACACAGGGGAAAAAAGAGAAAGGGAGAAGCCAGAAAACAGACTCTTTAACTATAGAGGACAAAATGAGGGTTGCTGGAAGGGAGGTGGGTGGGGGCATGGTGACAGGTATTAAGGAGGGCATTTGTTGTGATGAGCACTGGGTGTTGTATGTAAGTGATGAATCACTAATTTATACAACTGAAATGAAGATTATACTGTATGTTAACTAACTGGAATTTAAATAAAAACTTGAAAAAAAAATACTGTGCTGGGAAGTCTTTCTGGAGGGTTACATAAGAAACAGGTTATTACAGTCATTGCCTCTGAAAAGTAATCATGGATGGCTGGGGGATGGAATGAAAGAGACTATTCTCTATCATTTTGTGTCTTCACATGCTCTGCTATTTTATGTTAGAAAAAAAATGTAATCTTCATTGTGGTGGTAGTCATATCTATACACATACATATATAAACACCCAGATGAGTATGTGTAAAACTGATGAAATCTGAATAAGGCTCATGGTTTGTATAAAGGGTAATCTCCTGGTTTTGATATCGTACTATATAGTCATGCAAGATGTTACCACTGGGAGAATTGAATAAAGGGTATAGAGATTGTTCTGTATTGTTTCTTACAAATGCAAAGTTGAAAGTTTTAAAAAATAAGTTCCAACAGCAAGAACAAATAACCTTGTATCAAATCTAACAAATTTAAAATACTGATTTTACTTTTTAGGAATCTGGTGGACAGTAACAAACTTTGGTGAAATTTCAGGAACCATAGCAATTGAAATGGATAAAGGAACCTATATACACGCACTTGACAATGGACTTTTTACACTGGGAGCTCCACATAAAGAAGGTTTGTGTCTAGTAGAAGCAATGAAAGGGAAAAGACCACTGACACTATATATTTTATGACATTCATTCACTTAGGCCAAATTCTAACTAATATCCAGTATATTCCAAAGAAACAAATCCATTGCATTTGACTCTCCACCTTTTTTCCTTCCTTAATATTTATCACATATTGACAGATCCTTCTTTTTTAGTTATAAACATTTGAAAACATTCTATATGGTTCCAGAAGAGTATCTCTAGAAATTGAAAACAATATGAATAATTGAAATTGAAAGGGAAACCTGGTTGAGTCAAAGCTTTGATTCCTTTATTCTTTGGACCTTTTACCAAAACTAACCTGGAGCATTATTGACAACTTAAAGTTTTGTTATTCCTTCTAGCACACCAGAATAAGCACTAATGAGATATGAAGTAACTGAAGATAAAAAGCAGTATATTTTGGTCTGAATGTCCATCCCTTGAATAAGTTAAAGCATTTACTTTTTTAAATATTAAGTGCTTATTTGTCTATGTACTGAGTGCATTTTATATATATATATTTTTAAGTTTATTTATTTTGAGAGAGAGAGAGAGAGAGAGAGAGAGAGAGCACACAAGCAGGGGAAGGGCAGAGAGAAAGAGAGAATCCCAAGCAGGCTCCGCATCATCCACGCAGAGCCTGATGTGGGGCTCGAACTCACTAACTGCAAGATCATGACCTGAGCCGAGATCAAGAGCCAGACACTTTTTCTTTATTTATTTAGGAGCCGGACACTTAACCAACCATGCCACCCAGGCATCCCTGTACTGAGTGCATTTTAAAACACAAAAAGAAAATAGCTTTTTTTAATGTTTATTTATTCTTAGAGAGAGCACAATGTGGGAGGGACAGAGAGAGAGGGAGGCACAGAATCCGAAGCAGGCTCCAGGCTCTGAGCTGTCAGAGCCTAACACAGGGCTCAAACTCATGAACTGTGAGATTATGACCTGAACTGAAGTTGGATGCTTAACGCATTGAGCCACCCAGGTGCCCCAAAAAGAAAATATCTTATAAGCCTAAGCATCATGCTGACTTACCTATTCAGGATGTAAAACTAATATTGTAGTTATAAGGAGATAAAGTAGATCTTGATACTTTGAATCTGAATAGTATATTGTATCAAAATACCCTTAATTTTAAGAGAAAATATTTTTTTTAAAGCTGAAGAATATCTTTACATGTATATTTGTAACAAATGTCAAATTATTTCAAAATGCTTTTTTCTCCATAGTTGATGAGGGCCCTAGTCCTCCAGAGCAGTTTACAGCTGTCAAATTGTCTGATTCCAGGTAACTAAGTTGAACTATAATTAATAACCTTTTATTTTTTTCATTTTATTCACTGAAAAATTCCAATATATAGCTAATTAATTAAGTCAACTTAATTCCACAGAGTAATTTTGAGGTAAAAAACAAAACAGTCTTTTTGAAGTGTATTTTGTGAAATTTTAAACTTACAATATGTATATATCCCATATTTAGGTATTATTAAATTTCATTTGCAGTTACTGTGTCTTCGAAAGAGAATTAAAGCTCCAAATAAAAGCATACGCGATGATTCCTAGCAATATATAATATTAGGCTAGAAAAAAATGAAGATTAATACTGTCACAGGCCAAATAAGATGTAGATTAGAAGAAAGATCATGTGAAGAAAACAGATATAAGACACAACGGAGTCTGATGTTGCTGTGATATGTAAACTCACTGGTCAGAAGTCAAGAGATAAACAGGAAGATAGAAGAAAGGAGAATGTTACATAGTCATAAAGAGCAAAAGAATATTTTACTCACTAGTTTTACAACCATTTCATAAGCTGACTTTTTATATTCTCACAGCGCAAAAGTACAGAATGATACTTTGGGTAGTACACGCAGAAATGGAATTTCAGTATTCTAATAATTAGCTGCATCAACATGATAATGATTCGTATTATGTTAACTATAAGTGAATATAAAATCAATCCCTTGGCATCATAAAGGATTGGTAGACTAAGAAATTAGAAACCATATTTTTTTCTTTAAAAAAATCACATTATTACTTCTATACTTTCCTTCAGTGGCAAATAAGTATGGTGGAAGAATAAAAGCAGAAGAATAATCAATAAACACTAACTTCTTTACAATTGGAGGAAAAGACAAAAAGGGCAAATGAAAATATTTGCAATAACCTTAACAAGCAATGAATTTTTATTCTTCACATGTGTGTACAGGATTCATAATACTAAGAAAAAAAAATAGACACCAATAGAAAAATGAACAAAAAGATAAAAACTAAAAAGGAAAGAAAAAGAAGTACAAATATCACTTACAATGATTAAAATATAAAATAGGATACTATTTTTCCTATATCTTGTATTCCAGTGTTTTTAAAGTTATAATATTAAAAGATCTGTGGTAAAACAATACTCTCCTGTTTTGAGGTGAGAATGTTAAGTTGATAGAATTTTTTTTCTGGGAAGTGATTTGATAGCATGCAACGGGAGCTTTATAATTAGAATATAAAATTATGTCAAGAGAACTACACTTTCTGATATGGTAGTCACTAGGCACATATGCTTTTGATAACTTTCATTTTTAAATTTTTGGATTTTTCTGGAATTATATTATACACACCCACATTTATTTTTATGTTCCATATTTAATTTTCTTTTTCTTAGTCTGTAACATTTCTTTTCTGTTAATCTAAAGAATTGCCCTGAAATCTGGCTATGGAAAATACCTTGGTATTAATTCAGACGGACTTGTTGTGGGGCGTTCGGATGCAATTGGACCAAGAGAACAATGGGAACCAGTCTTTCAAGATGTAAGTGCTATTGTTGTTTATAATAAAGCTTCTTGTCAAGGTAAGATACAGTCTTTAACAGTCAATGAGAGTATATATTCTAAAAAACAACAAAAAAAAAGAATGTAATGATATACATTAAATTGGAGAAAACCAATATGAACTCATAACCTTAAAAAGATGTCACAAAAAAAGATGTCAAAAAATAGTACAACACAGCAAAATAAATAATCAACAAAATGAAAAGACAACCTATAAAATGAGAAAATATATTTGCAAACTGTATTTCTGATAAGGGATGATATCCAAAATATATTAAGAACTGATGTAACTCAATATCAAAAAAACAAACCAGTTTTAAAAAATGAGCAAAAGACCTGACTAGACTTTTTTCCCAAAAAAGATATATGAAAAGCCAACAGGTATATGAAAAGATGCTCAACATTGCTAGTTGTTAGGGAAATGCAAACCAAAAGCACAGTAAGATGTCACTTCATGACCCTTAGCATGGCTATCTTCAAAAAGACGAGAGATAAATGCTTTTGAGGATGTGGAGAAAAGGGAACCTTTGTGCATTGTTGGTGGGATTGTAAACTAGTACAGCCAAATGCAAAACAGTGTGGAGTCTCCTCAAAAAATTAAAAATAGAATTACCACATGATCCAACAATCTCATGTCTGAGAATATATCCAAAGGAAACAAAAAGACTAACTTGAAAAGGTATCTGCACCACCATGTTTATAGGGGTATTATTTACAAGAGCCAAGACATGGAGACAAGTTAGGCATCCACTGACAAATGGATAAAGAAGTTGTGGTGTATATATATATATACACATATATACATACATACACACAATGGAATAGTATTCAGCCATGAAAGATGAGTAAATCTTGCCATGTGCAACAGCATGGGTGGACCTTGAGGACGTTATGCTAAGTGAAATAAGTCAGACAGAGAAAGACAACTGTAGGATCTCCCTTACATGTGGGATCTTAAATAATAATAATAATAACAATAATAAGATAAATAAATCACTTAAACTCAGAAAAAGACGTTGGACTTGTGGTTACCAGAGTGAGAGGTGCTAGGAGCAAGAATCAGAGGAGGAAGGTGGCCAAAAGGTACAGACTTACAGTTACAAGATAAATACAATAAGTGCCAGGGATATAATGTGTAGCATGAGGACCACAGCTGACCTTGCTATATAATAAAGTGGAAAGTTAAGAGAGTAAATCCTGAGTTCTCATCATAAGGAAAAATTTTTTTTTCCATTTTATGCTTTCTTTTTATTGTAACTGCAGGAGATGATGGGTCTAACTAAACTTACTGAAATAATCATTTCACAACATGCCTAAGTCAAACCATTTTGCTGTATACCTTAAACTTATACACAGTGATTTTGTCAGTTATATCTCAATAAAACTGGGGGGGGAAATAGTGTAACGAAAATAGCAAAAATACTTTTGCCCACCATCATTTCTGTATACCCTTGGTGCCTGGATTCAGTTCTTATTTTTCATTAAAGATTCCAGATTTCTCAGAGGATAGCCCATTTTATGTCTTGGGGCAGGAAAATAGGATAGTTCAGGAATACCTTCTTAGGAGAAATTATGGATGCTTTCAAAAACGTTAGAAACTGTGGTAAGAGAACAGTGGAGCAAGCTTATGGCCAGCTTGTGACAATCTGTGCATAAAATAGTAAATAGTGATAATAATGGTTCACTGAAATCAAATTAGTCTATAAACATCTGAGTTCATGGTAAAACTCAAAAGCAAATAGTGTACAAAAAGTTTTAGTACAAAAGAAGGATGAAGATAATATATTAATTTTTATTGATCTTAGTAAATAGGCACTTAGCAATGGAAGGATATTTTGTTAAGTCTGTGTCTGTTTATTCAGAATACCTAAGTTCCAAAAAAAAATAATAATATATAAGTTCCTTTTTCTGTTTGTGTAAGCAGTAAGGATTGAACAAAAATATACCAGAGCTAAAACAGTCTCCTAGCTAAAGGAGATACTATATCAAGCTCTATACAGAGTTCTATATAGCTCTATATATTTAGATCTATACAGAGCTAAAAGGAGATACTGTATTGAGAACAGGAAGGATAGGTAGCCACCAGTAGAAGAGGAGTTTGGTAACTGTGTAGAACCATTGGGAATAGACAATAACGAATTCAAAATATGATCCCACGGTGTTTCCATATGCCAAACATCCCCCAAAAGAGATTTTAATTTTTTTTTTTTAACGTTTATTTATTTTTGAGCCATAGAGAGACAGAGCATGAACGGGGGAGGGTCAGAGAGAGGGAGACACAGAATCTGAAACAGGCTCCAGGCTCTGAGCTGTCAGCACAGAGCCCAAGGCAGGGCTCGAACTCATGGACCGCGAGATCATGACCTGAGCCGAAGTCGGCCGCTCAACCGACTGAGCCACCGAGGTGCCCCAAGAGAGAATTATTTAGACTCATTCCCTCATCCCCTAGGATAAAATCTCTGGGTCAGTAACTTTCAAACTTTTTTTGACCTCAGTCCAGTGAGAAAAACATTTTTACATTGCAGCCCAGTACACACATTGTACTTAATACCTATTTAATCTTCGTGTTGTGCACTTCAATATTTTCTATTCTGTTGTACTTTTTGTGTGTTTTTTTTTTTTTTTTTTTTTTTTTTTTTTTTTTAAAATACTGGGCAGGACCCACTAAATTGATTTCATGAACCACTTATGGATTGCAACTCCTTCTAGGTGATCTTACCACTATAATAAGGTACTTTCAATAAAAATTATATCAACAGAAAAGACCAGGTTATCATCAGGCCAGCATGATGATAACCCAGACACTACCACTCATACAGAATGTTTGGGAAGTTCATTTGCACTTTGTTTTGGGGAAAGACACTAACTTTTAATATGTAAATGAAAAAGACACATAAAAGTTCCTGATGGAACAAGGAAAACTTGATTGCTAAGAGGGATTCAGCTTTAAATTACGAGTTTAAATTACACTGGACGATACAGCCATACCCCGCACACCAAGTGTTGTCCAGATGGTAGAAAGCCCAGCCCTGGCCACCTTAATAAGAAAATCAATCACATCCACTGTTACTAGCCCTTTTGTAACTGAGTGTGATATAAAGTTATTAATACATTTTGTAATGATTGTATTTGTAAATATTTTGTCCGTTTAAGGTACTCAAAGTTTTGCAAGTCATAATTAAGCCTTATATTTGTTAAGGAAATTTAATTAAATCTCGGTTTAGATACACAAGAAAATTCGTTTTCACGTTTTGCCTTTTAGAATCTGTATAACACAGTGGGCATTGAACAACTGAAAAGAGTATGACAAGGCGTGTGGGTGGCTCAGTCGGTTAAGCAGCCAACTTCGGCTTGGGTTATGATCTTGTATTTGAACCGCGCATGGGGCTGTCAGCACGGAGCCCACTTCAGATCCTCTGTCTTCTCTCTCTGCCCCTTTCCTGTTCATGCACTCTCTCTCTCTGTCTCTCTCAAAAATAAACATTAAAAAAAATAAAAAGAGTATGAATATTTCTGGCCACATAAAAAAGTCCCTCAGACATTAATTCTTAACATTCTGAGCAGTAAATTCAAAGGCACCAAAAGTTAGCTTTTATTTTTATATTTTCTAATTATGAAGAAAATTTTACTTAAAACAGTACTTTTGAGTAAACTACTGTGAATTTTATAATTTGTATTGTTTTAAAAACTATTTTTCAAGCTGAACTAAATCATTTATATTCTCAATAGATCTTTGAGGCCAAAGGAAACAATTCTATTTCATCTT